GAAGTTATTATTTTTAATAACAAATTACTTCGGTTGAAATCATATAAATAAATTGAAGATAACCTTTTAACTAGAGTTTATGTCTGTGTTTTCGTTATTTCGTATTTTTATGTTAGTTTTGTTTTTATTTTGTTAAATTAACTTATGTTCTTGTATTACAACACTAAAAATATTATTGTTCTTAAGTAAATGTAAACAAAAGGGTGAATAAACAATTTTCAAGAAGTGATCTGGCGAAAAGATAATTTAAAAAGTTTGTTTTTCGGCCGGATGAATTTAATAAACGAAATTTTGAAAACACTAATCAAGCTGAAATATATTTTCTTTTATTATTAAAGGAGATCTCTTCTTATTTGTATGTCTGGTTATTTTATAATCACATTAACAACTTTTTAACGAGGAATACTTTTCGAAATAACCGGGTTACGTTTTGTTGTGCCTTGGCTAACATTGAATAATTGCGATGATTAAATGCAAATTCGTTTTCCTTTAGTTCGTGCAACATGTTCATGTCAGATTCGACTTGTATTTGTTACTGATAAGAAATAATGCACGCCATGGACAGGTACAGTTTGTAAAATAATATCGTAGAAGAAGAATATACTAGTTACGAAGAAAAATAATACAACGAAAAGGAAATTTAATAAGTCGTGCCCATTTTTGCATTGTAATAAAACAGGGCTTTAAATTGAAAAATGCAATTTGTGCAAAATCAAAAAGTCCAATACTCTTTTGAAATTATGTCGTGGTTCGCGATTTAAAACTTTTTGGTTCTCATCGGCACGCCGTCTATACAGATTTGCCAATAATTATGTTATATACAGTACAACATAGTATTGTGAAAGGTGTTAAAATACCCTTCTTTAAGTCCAAAATTTTTTTGTTGATCTCGCCTTCTTAAATTGACCCGGGAATAAACAATTTTTTCTGCAGCGGGCGTTTTAGTTAAGAAGAGACGTTATCTGATACTCGCATAGCATAATAAGAACTTTACGTAAAAGTTTTTATTTCTTTTTCATTTTCAGTATTATTATTCATAATAATAATAATTAAGTGCCTGGTCGCTCTCAATTAAACGTGAAAATTATAAGCGGAAGAGTTCTCCTTTATTATGAGTTTAATTATGATTTGTTCTATGTAAAAGTATTCGTATATTTTCTTTTAAAACTGCTGTAGTGTCGCATTCATTTTGTGTAATCTGTTGCATGTCGAAGCATTTTACTTTGTTGTGTTTGTTGAATTGAAGTAATATTCTGTATACTCACTTTAATATGTTATGTTAACAAATTATTACTGTTTAGAAGATAACTATTATATAACATAAATCGTTGTGTAACATTCAGATTAAAAAAAAAATTAATTAATTAATAGATAGTAGTTAGTAAAAGTATCTATTGATTACTATTGATTTAGGTAGATACCTAATAAGTAAGCAGCAAGTATGGAATAATTAATACACTAATTTGCATAGAAAATGAAGTTTAGTTTTGTGTTGATTATAGAGAAAGAACAGTCAATTGTTTGAATATTGAATATTTGATTTTCGAATGCTACAAGTTTTTTGATGCACTTTTTTCTATTTTTTTTTTATATCTTCGCTCCTGCACTTTTCGACACTGCCCATATTTGCTGTCGATCGTTGTGCTGTACCTGTTGTGCAACTTGTTCTCTACATCTTTTGGTAAGTCTACTACGTACTTTTTAAATTTGAACAAGGCGTTGGTGTCCAAATATACAATTACACCCACTTTCTGATGCTTTCGCGGTACACATTTGTTTGCCCTTGTTTTGTATATAAACTTCGATTTATTTTCCGCTTACGTACGAGGGTGCGTTTTTAAATTCGCGGAATGGGTAGGTAGGTCATTAGTGAGGGTGCTTACTCGAGTCATTACGAATTAAGCAACTCATTATTAGTGCAGATACCAAGTTTTATCGTAATTAGGTCGTTTGTCTTTGAACTATCGTCGACGAAACAAGTCAATCGGGAACAAATTGTGAAATATGGAGAAAATCGAGTACCGCGCTGTTATAAAGTTCCTTACCAAGCAACGAAAATCAGTTCAAACCATATTGGAAGAGATGCCATCCGTTTACGACGACTCTTGCCCAGGTAAAACCATGGTTCGCAAGTGGCATACCCTCTTTAAGCAAAGCAGGGACTCACTTGAAGACGACCCACGACAAGGCCGGCCGATCGAGGTGTCCACTCCGGAAATCATTGAAAAAGACGAAAAATTAATAGGAGAAGATGTTCTACTTAAGAAAAAACAGTTCGCAGTACTGCTAGGAGTATCATATACAACCGTTTTTAAAGTTCTTCACGAGCATCTGGGAATGACTAAAGTCATCGCAAGATGGGTGCCGAGAATGCTCACCCTGCCTCAAAAACAACAGAATGTGGAGTGTTCTCGCGCGTTTTTAGACCTCTGTAGTGAAGAAAAGGATGGAATAATGACTCGAATTGTTACTGGCAACGAAATTTAGGTTTATCATTATGATAACTGGACTTTATATGCAGTGGCACAAAAAAGGCACACCACCGTCCAAAATGTTTAAGATGTTACAGTCGACTGGGAAAATCTTGGCGACAGTCTTTTGGGAAGGGATTCTGTTGATCGACTATAAAGATAAGTAAAATAAGTTGTCTCCATAACTGGAGAATACTATACTTCAATCCTAGAGCGGTTAAGGGAAGCAGTCAAAGAAAAAAGAAAAAGAAAATTGACCAAAGATGTCCTCCTTCTGCACGACAACGCGCCTGTTCACAAAAGCCGAGTTGCGATGGCTGTCCTGCAGAAGATGGACTTCGAAATTTTGGCTCACCCACCCTACAGTCCTGACCTAGCTCCCAGCAACTATTACATATTCCCAAACTTGAAAAAAGTGTCCGTGGGAAGCAATTTTCTAGCGACGAAAAAGTGAAGGATGCAGTTTCGACGTATTTTTCTAACAAAAAAAAAGCTAATTGAAAGATCGGAAAAATGTATAAGGGTAGCTGGTATATATATGGAAAAGGAAAAATAAATTCGTACCTTTATTTCCATTTTTCACTCCCCATTCCGCGAACTTAAAAACGCCCCCTCGTACGTTAAGTCCTAAGAAATGGGCATGACATTTCATCGTCATTCGAAATATGGACAAATTTTACGGGAACTTTTTCAGATAATAGGGGGGGGGGTGTTACCTTTGTGGTAGTCACCCTACTAGAAACGGGGGGTAGATACAAAGTGAATGCAAAAATATTTGACATCAAATCTTCAAAGGTTTCTTCTTTTATAATTTTCAGAGTAATTTTTAATTTTTAATTTGGTTTTTCTATAACTCTAGGTGCAGCAGCAAATCTACGGAAAGAAGTTATACGAAACAAAATACGAGCCATTGGGAAGATGGCGCGTGTATTTTCTGTACTGAGGTATAGCTATTTATATATATATATATATANTATGATTTCCGCCCCCAACATATATGCTTGTATACGACCAATGTCCTTGAAATTTTAGTATGTTGTAGAGCTCAACATAACGAATCAGAATATATATTCACAGAAAGCATTATATATTTTTATATATTTCCTAGTACAATATCGGAATTTCGTACACTTCCTAGGAAATGTATGCATTTCCTAAAATATGTGTGTATTGAAAAATCTTTGAAGCAATATTTTATACATTTCCTAAATAGCCTCGGAATTGTAAACATTTCTTAGGAATATCTAACAATATACATTTAAATTCAAATGGCAGTTTTTTAGAGTGAGGTATTGTATTATATAATACAATTCTTGGATTTCCGGTAACATATACTTAACACGAATGTTCGCTTAAGCCGGTTCGGCAGTGGCATTTGGATTTAAATGTAAACTGTTAGGAGTTATTAAAATATTGATACCTTTTTCATGGAAAAACAACATACATATTTATATATATATATATATATATATATATTTAAGAATGTAATTTTAAAATACATTTGATTTTTTTGTCGAATTTCAGAGAGGAAAGCGAATCTGTGCTACAGCTTAAGGGACTTACTCCTACTGGTGCTTTGCCACTTGGTGCTCTATCTGGCGGAAAGACCAGTCTTAAAAACGGTAAGTGATTATTATTTATCTTTTTCTTCTTCTTGTATTTTTTTTAGTGCCTGTCCCGTTTTTATTTTTTTTTTTTTTTGAAGTGAAACTTCTTTACGCACGGTAGGATAAATTCGTTTCACGCGAGTTGCTTTGTAACGAAATCATGCAACGGATGTCCCCCCTCTACTCGGTCACGTAGTCGAGTTCGTAGTGGGGATCGCTTGAGCCGTGAGCGCGCTTCAGTGCAACGTTAGTTACAGGCAACTCCGGCATGTATAGTGTAAAATTTAAATTCATAGTGTACAAATAATACCATTAAACCACTTCCTTAACCCCTATCCCGGTATGTTTGTGTGTTTGAAGAAGTTTCACTTCAGTAGCGTGTTTGTTACACGTTGTATTTTTTTTTAAATAAATAATTATCAAAATAAAACTGATCTAACTTTATCTACTTTGTATTGATTTGATTCAATGTAAAATTTATTACCTACCTACGTATATGTACGCATGGTTTTGTTACCACCAAAAGTGTCATAAAATTTTATAAAGCCTTGTCATTCGCTCGTGGAACAATAGAGAGTTGTGGTGAAAGAAACATGTTTTGCGACAAAATTACAAAACCACAATAGCAGCCGACATTTTCAATCAAAACGATTGGGGTTTCATTTTCGTATGTACCCCTTATAAATGACTTGTCAGAAGTTTATTCGAAGCAATATCAATTCTCGTACTTACGTATTATTTCGAAAACATTTGAGATGCTTCCTTTAAATATTTGGACGCAATACAATAATTATCATGTTATTAGCAGTTAAAATAATATATAATTGGGAAACCAAATTATACTGTCTTTGGAGTTTTGGTATTTTAAAATGGAAAACATAACGGGATTGTATAACGGTCCCTTAAATTGTTTGTTAATTATAGGACACTCTTATCTTAATTGTTATGTTATGTGAAAGGCTCATTTATAAACATAAATTTTTTATACGTTAGAAATAATTTTATCATTTCTAGCGCAAATCATATTTAACGATCGTATTGCATTTTAATTACCATAAACCACAGTGTAATTGTAGGTACGTTGTGGTTAAAGTTTACGTTGTGACCGTTACTTATTTGTTACGTTGTGGTAATAAAAATGTCACGTTTTATTTCAATTATCAACCATAGTATCATTGTAGGTATATTGGTACGTTGTGGCATTTACTTATTTATTACGTTGTGGTAATTAACATGTTACGTTGTATTTTCATTGCCATAAACCACAGTGTAATTGCAGGTGCGTTGTGGTTAATGTTTACGTTGTGGCTGTTACTTATTTATTACGTTGTAGTAGTAAAATGTTACGTTTTATTTCAATTATCAACCACAATTTGGTTGTAGATACATATGGTACGTTGTGGTTAAGGTTTACGTTGTGGTATTTAATAATTTATTACGTTGTGGTAATAAAAATGTTACGTTGTATTTTAGTTAGGTACCATCAATCACGATATTTTTGTAGGCACAAATAGTACGTTGTGGTAATGAAAATGTTACATTGCAGCTTTGCAAGGGTTCTCACCGAATCACAAGATCACGAGTTTTGCTGAGGCCAAGGGTTTGGATGCGATCAACGAGCGGATGCCCCCGAGGAAGGACGCTCCACCGACTCCTGCAGAAGAGACGCCCCAGGACCACAATCACACCCAATCAAACGCGCATTCGTGAGCTTAACTTTGCTAGTTTTCATCGTCTTGCCCAACTACAGGTACTTTCAAGTTATTGTTCAATCAATCGTCACCCTTTTCACAGTCCGAGTAGGTTTGTTTCTAAATACGCGTATCGCCAGTCAGTCAGTCACTAAGTCACTAAGTCAGTCATTCGATGGATATACGAACGATACGGTTGTTGTTGGTTGGTTGGTTTACATTTTGCAGAACATCCCGGAAGTTTGTCTAATAAACGGCTGCTGAGGAACTATTTTTGTGAATTATTATATTTCGATATTTCTCAGTCGTGCTGACTACAACAAACAGACTGCAAGGTACAAATGGACGAGAATGTGTAAAAAAGCCACGTCAACCCTCTGTTTTGTGCCATTTATCTGTAACTGTCGGTGGAGTCACGTTAGAATTATTATTATTGCATATTTTTCTGTTTGTATCTTGCAGTTGATGAATTAATTAATTAATATTAATAATAACTGCTGAGTTGCAGTGTTTCTATAATAATATGATATACCATAAGCAAAAGTGAACTATTTTTTGCTCTATAGCTGGTAGAAGTTTTCTGAATTTTAAACACAACTTACAAACTAAGGAAACAGTTAATTATATTAATATTATACGTGTATTATTGTCTGTTGTCGGTTAATTAATTATCACACGTGTACATACATATACATACACAACGTAAAGTTTAAAACTACATTCAATCATAATATTAAAACTTTCTTGCTTACATCTACGCAGTTCTCTTTACAAAGAACTCATCTTGACTTGAAACACCGTACTCTTGAAAAAACATCATATAACACACCTTCTGTAGGTAAAAATAAAACAGATAGATGCTGGGTACCATTTCTACATGTTAGGGCGCACTCTTGTGATAAAAAAGAAGGTTAAAGTAAACAGTTTAGGAAACTGGCAACAGTTCTTGATTTTAAAACAAAATTATTGATAGTAGACAGCAAAAGATATACGAAAATCAATTTTTAACGAGTCTTTTGTGTTCTGCATTTAATGGAATATATTAGTTGTCTCGGATGCCTGGCAGATGTGAAACATCGAAATTGATTTTTATTAAAGGAAGTGAAAATGGAGCTAAGTATTTTTATAATAAGATAATTCTTTCACTTTTTAAATCACTCTAATGTAGACAAGTATGTCGGCAAGCGTGTAATATAGGGAACTATAATGTAGGCAATAGGCGAAGACAGGGAAGTGCCGATTCTTGGTGGTAGGGCGAAAGGAACCAAGATGTCGCAAAACTGGTCGAGTGAAGCGTTCTTGTCCCTGTCACCCCACACAAGAATCGGCCTTCTTTGCGCAAAGATTTTTCGCTAGGGTGGAAAGAGCCGACGAGTCACGAAGCTAGCCGAATGAAATTTCGTATCGTGCGTCGTCCCGTCTTGCTAGGCTAAAGTCGGTTTTACGCTGCATGCGCGCTAAAAGATGTTTCACATCAAATACCGGCACTAGTTGTATGTACAGTGCATGCACTTGTATTTTCATAATGAATTAATGGATTCCATAATAATTGCAGGTGTGTTCAAGAGGGACGATGTCAAGAGTTACGCCTGTGGAGGCATTCACTATTTTTACGTGCTACATACATTTCTATTAGCTTCTAGCAACATGTTTTCATTAATTATATTGTTGGGACGACAGGCTCGTTCGCATTTTCTTTATCAAGTAGCTGGTCTGCTTACCCTAGCGGTTCCCCTCTTGTATACGTACACCTCTTTCTACACACTGTTGTACTATTACATAGAATAATATTCTTTCTGTTCTTCCCTCACTCTATCGTTTATAATTTCGTTTCTTCGGGCCTTTTCGAGAGTTTCATAAGACGAAGACGTTTTACGTTACATTCCACGTCCATCGCAGGTTCCAACCTCAGACGATTTAAAATCCATTTCAAACCGGAAGTTTACATTTAATACTACTCTAAAAAATCGATATAGAAAGAGGGCATTGAGAAATGCTATTTATTAAAATATTCTTTTCACCCCCCGCTCCCTTACGCTAAGGAAAAATGAAAAACTATTTGGTGATTGCTATTTATGATTTCAAAAAGGGGTTTTACGTTTACTTTTGTAGGGTTCAGTTTTATTGATCTGTATGTTGTGTGCTTCGCCCGGTTTGAAGTAGGCAACCCGTCCCAAAAGTGCTTGAAAATAAGGTGATAAATGGAAATGTTGATCAGTTTCATTCGACAGGGTGTAGGAGGAGGTTTGCGATGCGAGACTGCGCGAAACGAGTGATACAAGTGTGCCATACTTACCTGTCGGTCACCACACACTTTATACATACGAGTTCATACCACATACAAACATACATACATGCATATATTGTTAACGTTCCTCATTGGATCATTTCCTCTGTGTGTGTGTATTTAATTACTACTTACTTAATTACTATTAAAGAAAAAAAAAGATGGAAGAAAGATATTAATTACATACATAAATAATAATTACCTAACCATAATGTTACGAACATTGAATATATTTAATTGTAATCCATACAGTGAGCAAGGGATTTTTAAATGCAGCCGCAAATCGTATTTCCGCTATCTCTATCTCTCTCTTTTCTGCTTCTTCTCTTTCTCTCTTTCTTAACAAACGTCTGTTTGTACTTAACTTTGTAATTTTACTACGGCGATGAAGATGTAGGATTTTTTTATTAATCGATTTTATTATTAATTGTGGTCATTTGTAAAACTAACTGCAACTATTAATTATCATTATTATTATTATTATTATTATTATTATTACGTACACATTTGCTACCTACCAGCTGTACTTATCATTCAGAGTCTTTTTTTTCTGTTGTTTTCGTTTTAATTGTACAAATTGTTTTATACGTCGTTAAATTACTGCTATCCACACAAGTTTTAAAAAAAGGAAAAATAATAAAATAAATGCGATTATCTCTTATTATTATATATTATTAAAAGTTATATATAAATAGTGCTCCGTGTCTGAGCAAGACTTGGAAAGGTACCGGGGACTCAATTTGTATATATGTGTATAAATTATATTAAATTACTTCCCCAACACCCTTGTCTAAACCTTTATAAAATATTGTATATGTATTAATTATCATTTGTATTCGTTAGAATCTCTTTTTTTAGTGATAGTTCACCTTTGTTTACCATTTACATGTTTGTTCTCTCAAACAGAGCTTGGATGAATGCGAAATAAAAAAATTTCTTGAGTGCGTTAAGTGCTGATGAATTATACGTCTAATAATAATAATTAAAAAAACAAATATTATTAATTACTACTATAATTATTATTATTATTATAAATT